TGAGTCTACCAGGTTGATCGCAGTCCTCGGGGGAGGATTTGCCCTGGAGGAGGTGGGAATGGGAGGTAGGCTGGGGGTAAGGGGAGGGGGTGGGAGGGGGAGAACAGGGGAACCCGTGGCTGATATGTAGAACTGAATGGTATTGTAAAATAAAATAAAATAAAATAAAATAAGAGAAAAAAATGGGGGCTTAATAAACTGTACCGGCTAGTTTTTATAAACTTAACACATACAGAGTAACCCGGGAAGAGGGAACCTCAGTTGAAGAATTGCCTCCATCATATTGGCCTGTGATCATGTTTGTGGGGGATTTTCTTGATGACTGGGAAGATCCACTTCACTGGTGGTCTCTGGGCAGGTGGCCTTAGGTTGTATAAGAAAGCGGACTGAGCAAACCATATGTAGCAAGCCAGTGAGCAGTACCATTCTGTGGCCTCTGTTTCAGTTCCTGCCTTTAGGTTCTTGTCCTGCTTGAGTTCCTGCCTTGGCTTCCCTCAGTGATGGACTGTGAGCTGAAATAAACCCCTTCCTTTTCAGTTGCTTTTAGTCAGTGTTTTATCACAGCAAACTAGAACACTACCAAGTTCACACAGCTAATCAATATTCACAGCGTGTCTAAGACTCAGGTCTTCCAGCGCCAAAGTGTCACTGTTACCTCCAGGAAGAAGCGCCTTAACATAGAGTCGGAGCTGGAGGGAAAAGACCTCAGGCATCAATGTGCGGACTGCAGAGCACAGAGTCAGGACATGGATCACCTTTGTCAGCCTTACTTCACTGTCAGCTTGGAGCAGGCCATACCCCACTGGCCTGGGATCTCCTTATCTGCAGAATGAAGCTAACAGAGTTCTTTTGCATACTTTGGACTTGTCCAATAAATTAATTTGTGTGCTTGTTTTTTAAATTTGTATGTGTATACATATATATATGTGTGTATGTGTGTATACACATATATATGTGTGTGTATATGTGTGTGTGTGTGTGTGTGTGTGTACACACACACACACACACACACACACACACACACACACACACATATGTATAGGGTTAGGGATTTAGCTCAGTGGTAGAGCTCTTGCCTAGCAAGCACAAGGCCCTGGACTCAGTCCTCAGCTCTGGGAGGAAAAAAAAACCAAACACACACACACACACACACACACACACACACACACACACACGTGAGTGTGTGTGTGTGTATGTATGACTGTGTAGAATGCCCATGAAGAGCAGAAGAGTGAATGGATCCTCTAGAGGTTGAGTTAAAGGTGCCTGACATGGGTGCTGGGGAACTGAGCTCAGGTTTTCTGGAAGAGCAGTAATCAGCCTTTACCACTGAACCATCTCTCCCGCCCAGCTTGCATGTTTTGTAAATTAGAAGGTGTTCTCTCTCTCTCTCTCTCTCTCTCTCTCTCTCTCTCTCTCTCTCTCTCTCCTCTACACACACACACACACACACACACACACACACACACCTGGTTGACCTGACATTCTCCATGTAGACCAGGCTGGCCTCAGAGATCTGCCTCTTGAGTGCTGGGATCAAGGGCGTGTGGGGTCGTTCTTATAACAGCCCTAACAAGCCAGGCTTGGCACTCATCATCATTAATGGGATGAAGTACTAGTGAAAAGCAAAGCAGGGAAATATGGTCAATGTGGCAATATTAGGAAGAGAAAGAGGCACACCGACCCCGTCCCACCCCCAAGACCCTCTTCTGCATCCCAAGGTGAGATTTAGGTTTCAGGAGAGGGAAGGAAGTGAGCGTGGCTAAGCAGTCACAGTCAAGGGTTCTTGTTTCTGTTCCAGCCACTTCTGCAAGTGGTCAGAAAAGTTGTGAGAACTGTAGAAAATCTTTCCCAGAGACAAATTCTTCATCTAGCTGAACCAGGCTGCAGGCTTTTCCTCATTCCAGCATGAGATTCTTGGGGGAAATAATGACTTCTTCAGTCCATTGTTTCAACAGTCTGACAGCCGGAGCTGGGGCACAGTGCCTCCTTACGATGTTCTCATTCTAGCTGGATAGCGGCCCACACCTTTAATCCCAGCACTCAGGAGGCAGAGGTAGGTGGCTCTCTGTGAGTTCAAGGCCAGCCTGGTCTACAGAGCGAGATCCAGGACAGCCAGGGCTACACAGAGGAACTGTCTTGGGGGCAAGGCGGGGGTGGGGGTGGGGTGGGAGGGATGAGGGGGCAGGGGTGGGGAATGCTTTCATTCTTGCCAGGATGGTTATACTCAGACTGGTATCTCTATTGAATTTCCAATTTCTGGGAAGATGGGCAATTCACTTAAGCTCTAAATTATTGTCCCTTACAGTGAAATGAAAACTAAGCCATATTTAGCTTTTGAGTGATCGTCTCACTGTGTTGTCCAGGCTGGTGGTCCTTCCACCTCAGAGAGCCTCTTGTGTGCCAGAGACATACTATCATTCACACCCAGCTTAGTTTCTATTTAATGAAAATTTCTGTAGGCATGTGCACATTTACATAGATAAACATGCCTACCTAAGGCTGGGCATGGTGGAGCACACCTTAATCCCAACACAGAAGAGACTGAAGCAGGAAGTTTCCCTGCTTCAAGACCACCTGGGAAACATGGAGTACCAGGGCAAAGAAGAACAAAACCCAGCTTGTATACGGTCTAAAAGACTCAGTTGGAAGTTGTTGGGAGCACAAGACCCTTGTGCTCACAGGTTAGCACTAGGGAAATCGGGAATGTTAAACATGCAGAATTGTCTCTTCAACAGGAAAGACAGATAACCTGTTTTTCCACCCAAAACCCTGGGAATGGAGGTGGTTAATAGCCTGGTGTCTGTGCTATCTGTACGACCAGGCCATACCAACCTCCCACAACCAGGGCCAGGGGGCGGCTAATAGGTTAGGTGACCTTTGTTTATCTGTATGGCCAGGGGTTCCCTCAACTGGGACTGGAGGTTGCTAATAGCCTAGATGATCTCTACACTATCTGTATGACAGAGACCACATCAGATCTTCCCTTGGGCTCTTAAGCTGGATATGTATAGCTGGAGAGATGGCTCAGTGGTTAAGAGCACTGACTGCTCTTCCAGAGGACCCAGGTTCAGTTCCCAGCACCCACATGGCAGTTCACAACTGTCTGTAACTCCAGTTCCAGGGGATCCAACACCCTCACACAGACATACTTGCACATAAAATAAAAATAAATTATTAAAAAAAGATATGTATAGCCTTTTTTTCAAGAACCCATCTTCATGGAAGAAGTGACATGAACTTTGAGAAGAGTAATTATGAAGGTAATTGAGAAGGTGATTATGCCTCCTTGTGCACACTTGTGCACAGAGGATTGTGTTACATCAGAAAACTTTTTTCCAAATTGTGCTGCACTTCAATATGCCTATTATAAACTGCTCAGCATCAGACTCTAGGAGTTTGAGCCAACACCAGCTAAGTCATGTTGAACTGGATTTCCTTCTTGCCTCACATGGATTGTTATTCTGCTGACCCTGGTGTTTGTAGAGACCCCCATGGGGAGTGGTGACATACACCCTTAATTCCAACCCTTGGGCAGCAGAAGCAGGCAGATCTATGTGAGTTTGAGGCCAGCCTAGTCTACACAGCAAGCTCCAGGACAGCCAGAGCTATACAGTGAGACCTTGTCTCAAAACAAATCTAATTAACTATATAAATAAAATAATAAAAGACTTTAACTAGAGCTGGAGAGATGGCTCAGCAGTCATGAGCACTCCCGGCTCTTCCACAGGACTGGGGTTTGGTTCCCAGCATCCCTAACAGGCAGCTGGCAGCCACCTGTAACCCCAGTTCCAAAGGGATTTGACACCCTCTTCTGGCCTCCACAGGTACTGCATGCCTAGGATGCACTTATTCAGATACTGCATCCTTATTGCACTTATTCAGTATGAATAATGTTGGTTATGATGTTGGTTTCATCAACAGAAGTAAATTCTGGGCAGAGACTGTGTGTGTGTTACTTTATCTGGTACATGAATTAACTCATTAGTAAAATGATTCTTGAACTTCTATCATGCTGAGTTCAGTGTATTCAGATCAGGTAAGATACAACCTTCACCCTCTAGAACAGTGGTTCTCAACTTTCCTAAGGCTGCGACCCTTCAATACCTCATGTTATGTTGACCCCCAACCATAAAATTACTTTTGTTGCTACTTCATAACTGTAATTTTGCTGCTTCTATGAATCATAACGTAAATATCTGCATTTTCTGCTGCAACCTCTGAGAAAAGGTTGTTCAACCTAAAAGGGGTCGCGACCCACCCATTGAGAACCACTGCTCTAGGACCAGTTCTGTGAACTGAAACTCCCAGAAAACATTCTACAAGGCCATTTGAGTGATTAAAATGTCTGTGGTTGGGCCTCAGGAGGTGGTTGGAAGCGTCAAGAGCGCTGGCTGGTCTTCCAGGGGGGCTGGGTTTGACTTATGGTAACCACGTGGTAGCTCATAACTCCAGTTTTGGGATCCAGTGCCCTCTAGTCTCAGCAAGTACCAGGCACACACAGACGTGTGTGCAAACAAAACTCCCACACATATTACATAATTACATTAATTTTAGAAGAGATGTGTTCCCCCCCCCACCCCTTTTCCAGAATTTGTGAGCTTAGCTCTATTTTCTAAAAATTCTTAAGCTAGCCACTACAACCAAAAACCAAATATAGAGCATTCTGCCTCCCGTAATTATCCCTGCTGAGTATGAGAAAGTTAATTAAGGAAAAATGCTTTACCTGTATGGTTTCTAGAAAGAAAAAAAAGACAATAATTCTTGGATATTAGTTGTCATCATTACGGTTAATATGCCACGGGCATTTTCTAAGCTATTTGTTTTATTTTCGCTTTTGTTATATGTTGCTTTTGGGACAGGGTTCCTGCTTCCACTTCTGTCTCCTGAGGATGGCAGGGAGCTTCCCCATCCGGTGGCAGGCGGGGGCAGGTCTGGAGCTGCCATCACAGGGCAGCATACTTACTACGTTTGCTGTGACTGTGATACCAGAGGGCGGTGCCTGGTGCTTGAACACAAAAGGAAGAAGAACAGCCCTGTGCGGCCAAGTAAGGGTCGCGAAGGAAGAAAGGGTGGGCCGTGCTCAGTGTCACTCCCCCAGAGTCCAGATTCTACAAGCCAGGATGATACAGCAGGGTGGGGCAGTGGGTGTGGGGACAGGGCGCTGGTGGCGGAGCTGAGGTAGCCCCGTGACTCACTGAGACCACTGAGCTCATGCAGCCATGCCTCGTTTCCTTCCTTGGGATCACATGAAGATGAGCAGAGAGTGGGTCACGAGCACAAGGTTCGCCTGTGACAAAATGGTCCTTCCATGGCGGCCCGTGGGCAGCTGTGCGCACACACACCCACACACCCACATCCACTCACATATGAATTCCCCGGGGAGACCTCTACATATACAGAACCTTCCCGAGCCTGCAAGCCTGGGAGAAAGCCGGGGCTGCAGGAGCCAAGGCCCACTTTGAACAGAGCGTCCTCCACTTTCCTGGTCTCCATCCTGACTCTTGCTTCAGACACAGGTAAGCTGAGATGAAAGAGTCCAAGGCCAGCAGGACCTAGCGGTTGAGAGCGCCTATCTTGCAACGCAGGGTCCTGGCTCTGCCGCTTCACCGCTGTGGGACTCGGGGCCGTCTAGAGACTGTTAGAACAGTCTCCTAGTGAACTTCAGGCCTCTGTACCTGCCTAGAATACCTTTCCCATCCAGCGTCTCCTCTACAGTCAAGTTTCTCCGTGACAGCACTTCTTCCCGGAGGCCTTGTCTTGCAGGCAAGGGTTAAGCGGTCCTGTGTGAGCTCCTGCCCTTACCACACTTAATTCTCCCTGCTTTATGCCCGTTCCTCCTAGCTTTATAGTCCTCAAGGAAAGGAACTGTGTGTTTCCCACCATTGTCTCCATAGGTGCTGGGCAAAGACTGGGCATTTGATTAATGTCAACTGAGCAATGAAGAGACGGGTGGGAATGGGGAAACAGACACAGAATGTGTGCTCTCCGAAACAATTGCTCCGGTGCCCAGACAGTCGCTGGTGTTTGATTGGTTCACCCAGCCTCCTCTACATGATGGTGCATGCCTGAGGTCCCAGCACTTGGGAGGTGGAGGCAGAAAGCAGAAATTTAAGGCCAGCCTGGGCTACAAGAGACCCTGTCTCAAAAACAAACAAACCCAAATTTGATCTTCTGATCCTGCCTGCCTCTACTCACATGAAAACGAGCCAGCCTCTTTGCTAATCTCCTGACTCACGTCTTTGGAAGGATTTCTCAGAGTGCTGTGATTTCTAAGAAAGATCATGGAGAGGAAGTGAAAGTCAAAACCCCTTCTTCAGACAGAGTGGGGCTTCCTTGTTCTCACTGCAAAGTCTGATGGGCAGGCCAGCCGAGGGTCAGTAGTGGCTAAGCAAAGCTGGCATCTTCAGGGGCAGTCTCTTGGGTTAATTCTCCTGGAGGTATCCTTTTCCTCCAGTTTAACTTAAATTTTTTTAAATTTATTTTTTAATTACACTCATGATATTTATTAATTACACTCATGATATTAATTACATTTGTAATATTCATTGATTACATTCACAGCATTCATTCAATAATTATATTTATGATATTCATTAATTACATTAATTGTATTGATTTATTACATTCATGATATTATGTCCTGATACTACTGTCCATTTGTGGGTTTTTTCCATCACACAAAACAGAGATTCTGTACTTAGGAAATCTTTGTTCTCTATTTTTTTCTTCTCTGTCTTGAGATAACATCTAATCTTTCTGTCTCTATGAATTTGTATATTCTATATATTTCATGTAATACAATTCTATAGTATTTATCTTTTTTTAATGTAAAAACATTTTATGTACAACTGCAGGAGAAATAATACTCAGATAGCCTGAACATAAAAACAGGTTATAACGTAAAAGTCCAGGGTTATTTTAAACAGTAAAATATTTTCTCTGTAGAAAATAGTATAAATGAGCCGGGCGGTGGTGGCGCACGCTTTTAATCCCAGCACTCGGGAGGCAGAGCCAGGCAGATCTCTGTGAGTTCGAGGCCAGCCTGGGCTACCAAGTGAACTCCAGGAAAGGCGCAAAGCTACGCAGAGAAACCCTGTCTCGGAAAACCAAAAAAAAAAAAAAAGGAAAAAAAAGAAAAAGAAAATAGTATAAGTGATAACATTTCCCAATAAGCCCTTTTAAGCCAAATGATAGCCAAATTATACATATAAATATTGATTCGATTCTGGGGTACAGAAGAGACCTATCTTCATCTGTTCAGAGAGCTGTTTTACTTATAACTTAAAATTTTATGTTGCAAGCTGAGCATGCCAGGAGACCCATCGAGTCTACATATGTACACCCCCCAAAATAAGTCTAGATTTTCATTTTAGGCTATGACTTACCTTGAGCTTGCTCGGAATGACTTAACTGAGCATTCATATGTACATAGCATACATGTGTACTTATGTACACTATGCATAGACCCCATTTGCTCTCCTTGACTGTACATGTAATACATCTTTCTCCACTCGTTTACATCTTGGCCATGCTGATTTTGGCGTGGGACTCACCAAAACACCGGGAGCCCAGCATGCTTAGTTATAGGGTCTCTGAATTCCACTCACCCAAAAGGCCACGCTCAGGTTTGTAGATTTTCCTCTATTTGTCTAAATTGGTGTTGTTTTGTTTTTGTTTTGAGCCTAGGCTCATGTAGCCTAGCCTCAAGGCTAGCCTCCAATATACTATGTAGCCAAGGCTAGCCTTGAACTACAGATCTCTTGCTTCCAATAACAAGGAGCTGAGATAACAGGTGTACACCACCATGCCTGACTTCAAGAATTATTCATTGGTTGGTTATCTGAAGTTCAGTATTAACTGGGAGTCTTTTCTTGTGTGTTTGGTTTGGGAGTTTTGAGGCATGACGCCACAGCTGGCGTCAAACTCACTATGTGGAGGGCAGCCTTGAACTCTTTTTTTTTTTGTTTTTTTGTTTTTTTGTTTTTTGGTTTTTCGAGACAGGGTTTCTCTGCATAGTTTTGCGCCTTTCCTGGAGCTCACTTGGTAGCCCAGGCTGGCCTCGAACTCACAGAGATCCGCCTGGCTCTGCCTCCCGAGTGCTGGGATTAAAGGCGTGTGCCACCACTGCCCGGCAAGCCTTGAACTCTTAATCGTCTTGCCTCTATTTCCCAAGTCTGGGGCTATAACAGGTCTGTGCCACCATGCCTGGCACAGGCTCAGTAATTTTCGACCCCTTCCTGTGACTTTCCTGAGAAGAAACAGGAGAGTTTGATTTTGATAACTGGGGGTCTCGCTACACCTCACTCACAGGTGATTATGAGCAGGTGCTGAATGGCCAGTAACATATCAGTCCTTACTGGGCCCTGACAAAATCGGTCCTCTGAGAGACAGTGGGTTAATGTCGCAAGCGGAGCGCTGCCCTTAAATGGCAAGATAGTCTGAGGAGGGAAGCCTGCCTAAGTCACAAGATGATGAGGAACTCAGTACAAGGGGGAAAAAAAAAAACAAAGCAAACCCCAGCACGGTGGGAAGGAACACTTTCCAGAGGGCCTTGCCTCTCGATAGCTGGACGTGGGTCAGAGCCTGACGGGAGCTGGGAAGCTGAATCTGGTGCATGGGCTTCCAAAGGAGGCCTCCATCATCTTTCCTGGCTCCTCACCACTTCCTTCCCTCCAGGTTCCTGGTGTCTCTGGGTAAGGGGCTCTTCATGCCCACCTCCCCAGCTCCCCTAAAATGTCCCTCTCCTCTAGCAAGACCCAGACATCCTTTCCCTTGGAACCCACTACTCTATTCAATGTGAAAGGGTTTGGTAAAGGCCACTCACCACACAGAACAGAATTAATTGCAGCAGGAAGGTAGATGCATGGGGGTAGGGGAACATGGACTGAGAGGCATCCAAAGCCACCAAGGACTGTGGGGACCCGCTGAGGAAAGAACTTGCCTCCCCAGTGCTGTCCCTGAAAGCCATCTCCTTACCATAAGCTGTAGTTTGTTTGTTTGAGGTCCTTTTCTGATGTGTGTTTGGTTGTTGTTGTGGCTGCTGAGGCAGGGCCTCTCTTTGTAGTCCTGGCTGTCCTGAAACTCACTGTGTAGCCCAGGCTGGCCTCACTCTTAGGTTCTTTTTGTTTCAACCTCCTAAGTTACTGGGATTCCAGGTGTGAGCCACCTGTATCATGGATCAGGACTTTTTTTTTTAATGACTGAATGTTCCCCTATATGCATATAAAACATATTTTGTTGATGGACATTTGGGTTATTGACATATGTCTAATTTTAGCTTTTATGAGTAGCTACTATGGTCGTTCAAGCATCAGCGCTTGTGCGGGCAAGCGTCTTCACTGCACTTTCATAAAGCAGAGGAATTACTGGTTGGTTTGGTAAGTGAGTGTTTAGGCACATGACAGTGTCACACTGTTTCCAGAGCGGATTAACCATCACATTCTCACAGCAGTGTGGGACCCTTCCAGTTGCTTCTCACCCTCACCCACAGTTATATACATTGTTTTTTAATGCCAAATGCTGTTTATTGAAGGAGGGAGGAATGCTGTTTATTGAAGGAGCCTTAAATACAGGCTTACAGCACAATGGGAGAACCGTGGAGGGCAGAAGTTCCCTACCAATGTTTTACAGTCTTGCATCTAAGCTGTTAACGCCCACTATGCAGGATACATAGACAATGAACTTTCCTTAAGTGTTCAGGAGGGTGAAACCTAGGAGGGAATTAGCATAGGGAGGATATCAAGGTCAAGGTCAGCATGCAAGGCAACAGTTACCCAAAACGGGGGCCAGTGCCCTACAGGTCCCCCTTTTACTAATAAATGAGCTTCTGACTTAGGTTGCATGGGACGTCAGCAGGTCACCTTACCTGTCATGGAGACGCCTGCCCAGGCCACACAGGCGCTCTGTGTTAGGTTGGTGAGTGCCCCCCAGGCATTATACGTCTCTGAATACTCATTATTATACAGGCTCAATCATGTGTGAGCTGCAGAGTTAACTGTTGCCAAAGATCTCAAAGTGGCGCTGGACTTGCAATCTGTGTGTTCGACACAGAAAAGACCAACAGAAGTCCTAAAACACCCATAGCCAGTAGGATAAAGGCAACTGAGCCATTCCCTTCCTTAACGAGCCTTACTGCAAATTGGAGTCCTTGTAAGATGGTATCCCAAAGCAAATGGAACTTGAGTTTATACATTTATAACTTTCAAAGCCAATCGAAATGTATATAACTATTGAATTAAATTTATCATGTCCAATAGAATGAAAGATTAACTAACTGTGGTAGCTACTTTTGCTGCCAGGGTCTCCACTGTGCTAGCTGTAGTAAGCAATTATGAAATGGTAATCCCAGAAACAATAGCAGTGGTGGCCACCTCTGCTATAACAGCAACAACAGCAGCAGCAATGTCAAATTCTCTTCTTGAGTGTGTGGGCATCCACAGACATGGATACAACTCCAGGAACACGAACCACCAAGGTCCATTTTTCTTGATCCCAGCACAACTTAATCAGGCAGCTCTGCAAAAGAACAACTAAGAACCATAAAGAAAAAACAGGCAGGTCACAAGGAGTATAACTAATAGTCTTATAATGGCTACATTTAGGTTGATAATTTTTAAAATATCTTCAAAGGGGGCTAAAAGAATTTCAGGAGACCAATAAATGTTGCACAGAGCCACTCCTGAAAAGTATGTATTTCACCAGCTTGAAAAGGAAAAAAGGCTTAGCTGGCATGCAACTGTTAACAAATGGGTTATATACATTTATAAATGCTAACAAGGCTGGATGTTATTGATGATGCACTCCCAAAGGCAGAGGCAAGCTGATCTCTGTGAATTTGAGGCCAGCTTGATCTACATAGTGAAGTCCAGGTCAGCCAGGGCTACATAGTGAGACTCTGTCTCAAACAAAACAAAAACAAACAAACCTCTAACAATGGCAGGGTTATGTAGTCAGCCAGTCTGTCTCTCCCTCTCTCCCTTCCCTAGGCCAGCATTGAACTCCTGGGCTCAGGTGGTCTTCCTCCTCCTGCCTCACCTTCCCACATAGCTGGACTACAGAGATGCACAGCCACACTGGCTTGGGTCATTGAGGTCTTCCTTTTCTCCACAATGCTCTGTAATTCTTCTCATACACATCTTGTACACATTATTAAATATAGCCATAGATATTTTTGTTTTTGTGCATTACAAATACCTTTTAAGTGAAAAACTTGAACTTTGCACGCCTTTAATCCCAGCATTCTCGAAACAGAGGCAGGTGGATCTCTGAATTCGAAGCCAGCCTGGTCTACAGAGTGAGTTCCAAGACAGCCAGGACTGTTACATAGAGAAACCCTGTCCTGAAAAACCAAAAAAAAAAAAAAAAAAAAAAAGACAACTTGTCATTGTCTGTGTTCGGGGATAGAATACAGTATTAATATTTTATTCTATGTTCTTGCTAAACTCACCTATTAGTTCAAGTAATTCTTAATAGATTGATTAGAATTTTCTGCATATATAGCCAGATTATCTTTGAATAATGTTACTTCCTGTTTATGCCCCCCTTTTTTTTCTTATTACACTGGACAAGCAATAAGAACTTTGATCCTAGCACTTGGGATGCAGAGGCAGATACATCTGAGTTTGAGAGCTTGGTCTACATACTGAGTTCCAGACCAGCCAAGGTTACATAGTGAGACCCTGTCTCAAAACAAACAACAACAACATCAAGAGTGGAGAATGGGCATCTTGACAGCACCTTTAAAAGTTTTATTAAACAGGAATAGTCATTGGGCTGTTGAGATGACCCAGCAGGTAAAGGTGCTTGCCACTAAGCCTCACAAATTGAGTTCAATCCCTGGGACCCACATGATGGAAGGAGAGAATGGACTCTTGAAAATTATTCTCTGGGCTGGGTGCTGGTGGCTCACGCCTTTAATCCCTGCACTCGGGAGGCAGAGCCAGGCAGATCTCTGTGAGTCCGAGGCCAGCCTGGTCTACAGAGTGAGATCCAGGACAGGTGCCAAAACTACACAGTGAAACCCTGTCTCAAAAACCAAAAAAGAAAAAGAAAAGAAGACAGAAAAATTTCCTCTGGGGCTGGAGGGATGGCTCAGTGGTTAAGAGCACTGGCTGCTCTTTCAGAGGTTCAATTCCCAGCACCTATAAGGTGGCTCACAACCACCCATAGCAGTAGTCTCATAGGATCAGATGGCCTCTTCTGGTGTGCAGATAGATGTATGTACATACAGACCAAACATCCATATACATAAATAAATCTTTAAAAAAACAGAAGAGAGTTATTCTCTGATCTCCTCACATGTGATGTGTCACAGGAATGCCCCATACACACACACACACACACACACACACACACACACACACACACACACACATACCACACACACACAGTCTCGCTTTCTCTCTCTCTCTAAATTAATAAAGTATAATAAAAATTTCAAAAGGAAAAATAGACAATCATTGGTTATAATAGGACACACACAGAATATGATGGACTGGCAATATGTGTGGTTGAAGCTTGGCAGAAAATGGAGGGCATAACTCTTAATTCTTGGGGAAGGCTTAGAAAGGCTGTGTGTTTTAAAAGCTCCTCAGCATAGCTGGGTGTCATGACTCACGCCTTTAACCCAGCACTAGGAGGCAGAGGCAGATGAATCTCTGAGCTCAGGCCAGCCTGGTCTACAGAGCGAGATCCAGGACAGCCAGGGCTACACAATGAAACCCTGTCTCAAAAACAAAAATAAAACAAACAAACAAAAAGCTCCTCACCTGTCCTTGATGTGACCTGTTCACAGAAGCCGTCTGCATTCTGTCTTCTAGCACATTCGGTGTGACCTCTCCCATCGTTCTGGGATGCTGTCCTTTTCCCGTGTGACGGCCTGCTCACGGACCTGCTCCCGCTTCATCGGGCTGAGCCTCGGGACTGCATCCCTGTTTGCTGCTGGGGCCAACATCGCACTCCTCTTTCCTAGCTGGGATGTTACCTACCTGACGAGGGGTCTCATTGGCAAGCATGCCATGCTGGGCTCGGGACTCTGGGGAGGGGGTTTCATGGTACGTATGCGCCTTGGGTTCTGTGAGTGCGAATTCCCAAAGCCTCTTTCAGGGATGGAACCAGGAGGTGGTGGTGGTCGGGTGTTCCAACAGTTGGCATTGGGTCCATAAGCAGCCCAAGAAATACGGGGACTTGTCATGGGTTGCTGGATCTTGGAACCAGGAAGGCTAGATGGGTGTTAGCACCTACAGAGTCAAAATGGGCTAAGTTCCACCTGGGCCCATTTCAACAGCTGTGCATGGCAGCTAGAAATGTAAATCACCCAGTCTCTTCTTCCAGATTTATTTGTGTGGGGGTATTTTGACCCTATGTGTGTATGTATGTATGTATGTGTACCATGTGGGTGCAGGAACCTTCAGAGTCCAGAAGAGGGTGTCAGATTCTCTGAAACTAGAGTAACAGAAGTTGTAAGACACTGTGTGTGTGCTGGAAACCAAACCTGGGTCCTCTGAAAGAGCAGCCAGTGCTCTTAACCACTGGGCCACCTCTCCAGCCCCACTCGGTCTCCTCTTAACACACTTCTCTGCTCTCCAGGTTCTCGTGGCAGCGACCCTCATCTCCGTGACCGGCTACTTCAGTAAGAGCGCCCCCTGTCTGCGTGTAAGCACCAGTGCCCACCTTTAACACGACTCTCACACTCTCTACCCTAGAGGCAGAGGGCTCAAGGGGCAATTTGAGCTTTCGGGCTTGAAGTCAGTCCCTAACTCCGCCCTTTAACGACCCCAAACTCTTGGCAGTGGCTTAGTTTTCCGGGCTCATCTGTAGGAAGGGTTAGGGCCAAGGATGAAGTGGCTAATGAACCTCAGATATCCACATAAGTGTGATAAGCTGTCATTTTCTCTGATCCTGAGTAATAGGAAAAGGATTTAAGTATTCAGTGATCATATATCATTGACAGAAAATGTCCTGGCTATTTTTTTTATGTACTTACTTAGTTATTTTGGAGTTTTCTTTTCTTTTTCTTATTTGGTTTCATGTGTTTATGCTGTTTTGGCTGCTGTGTGTGTACTTGGTGTCTGTGGAGGCCAGAAGAGGGTGTCAGCGCACTGGAACTGGAGTTGCTTTTGGTTGTGCACTGTCATGTGGGTGTTGTGAACATAACTCGGATCCTCTGAAGAGCATCCTTTCTCCAACTCCCATTTGGGTTTTCTTGAGACAGGATTTCACTATGTAGTTTGGAGTTAGCTTTGAACTCGTAATCCTCCTGCCTCATCTCCCCAGTGCTGGGATCATAGGTGTGAAGCACTCTGCTGGTGCTTGGTTAGTTTAATATTTTCTTAGAGGGCTGGGGTGCAGATCAGTAACAGAGCATTTGCCCACCATGCATGAGGTACTGGAGTGAATTCTCAGCACTGAAACAACCGACCAAGGAACAAAACAAACCACGTACATGTACATGTACCCATACACACACACACACACACACACACACACACACACACACAGACTTTTTTCTCCCCATTAGAAATAAGCCAACTACCAGTTCATAATCTGATTCTTCTACTCTATAATGACAAGACCAGAGTCAAATTGCTCTTCATTACAGCTGCATCGGTATAGATTTTCAAATAACCTCCAGCTGAGTGTGGTGACTCACCCCTTTTAACACCAACTTTTGGGAGGTGGAGATGGGAGGATCAGGAGTTCAAGGTCATCAGTAGACTAGCAAGGAGATATCAACCTGCTAGAAGGTCCAAAGACCCTGTGCAGTGAGGTGATGCAGATTCATGTGTCTGCCTGTCTTTCTGGCCTTTCTCAACAGTTTCCTCTTAGGCACCTCATCAGCCACCCTTGGAACATGTTTTAAAGGGATGTGTCACCCTGCACTCCCTCCCTCATGTAGGGTGGGAGAATGCCTGGCCATCAGAGAAGTTAGAGTGGGCCATGCCACCCCACCAGCCCCCTGGCCACAGCTCCGTGTGAGCTCTGTCCCCTGCCTCCTCTACAGATGCTCATCGCCCTGTTGTCAAGTGGCCTGGCTCTTCTTGGGGCTTTGGTTTGCTTTGTCACGTCTGGAGTAGCCTTGAAAGATGGTCCCTTTTGCATGTTCGATGTCTCATCCTTCAATCAGACACAAGCTTGGAAATTTGGTTATCCCTTCAAAGACCTGCCCAACAGGTAATGATCACCCTCAAAAGCACAGTCCCCTGACCTGGGCCAGGGGAGCCCCAGTCCTGTGTTTTCTATTGGAGTTCCTTGATTGGGTATTTTTGTTTATTCCCCTACCCCTGACCCCCTTATTCTTGGGTCTAGGAATTATCTGTATGACCGATCACTCTGGACCTCTGTCTGCCTGGAGCCCTCTAAGGCTGTGGTTTGGCACGTGGCCTTCTTTTCCACCCTCCTGTGTATCAGCCTCCTCCAGCTTCTCCTGGTGGCCATCCATCTCATCAATAGCATCCTCGGCTTGTTCTGCAGCTTCTGTGAGAAGTGCTAGGTAAGGGATGTCCTTTCAGGAACCCAGTGTTCTCACTATATGCTTCCTCCAACCTTTTCTGCAAGAATAGGGTGTAACTCCCTTTGAGGCCTTCCTATAGGCTGCCAGCACTTTCTTGCACTTAGGGGGAATGATACAATAAAATGAAAGTTATGCTGTGTACTTTGAAGATGACACCGTAACAGAAAGAGCAACGAGGTCATTGCTAGTGTATAGGGGGGAACTTTCAACTCGTAAAATGATTTCATTTCAGCCTCTTGACGACCCCATAAAGGTTGGCCCCATACTAAGATAGAGAAGCTGAGACTCTCAGACACACAACTATGTGACCCCCTGATGAACCCTGATAATAGGTTTCTCCACTGATGCAGTAGGCCAGATCAAGCTGAATTGAAAAAGTAAAAGAACAGGTTTATTTGAGCAAAGCAACTCCAGGGTGAGTTCTCCAGCCCCAGAGATCGAGGCCGGAGAAGTCATGCACCTGAACTGAAGCAGGGAGGTTATATAGCCTGTAGGTGAGGGGTGATGACGTGTCTGCCACAAGCTGGGTTTGTGTTCAAGTGTGGTTAAAAGCTGAGCACTTTAGGTGGGGACTTGGGCTGCTGGCAACTTCATTGGAGGAGTTGTCACAGCTGCCAAGAATGCAGAACTGGACTTTTTGGTGCTTTTTCTTTATTGGAGATTCTCTGAGAGGGTGGGGTCTGGAGAGAAGGAGATGGGGCTTCTCAGACCACGCAGGAGCAAGCTGGAGGTTCCAAGCAAACACCCTCAAATTCTAAATCCAAGTTTACCACTGTAATAGACAGAATTGCGTTTCCTCAGAATCATAGATGGGAACCCTTATCACCAATGTGACTGTATTGGAGACAGGGCCTTACATGGTAATCAAGGATACATGAGGTCATAAAGGTGAGGTCCTGATCCAGGAGGATTGACATCCTTGCAGGAAGAGCAAGAGACTGGGCATGGTGGAGTCAGGAGGATCATCAGTTCTAGACCAGCCTGGGCTACATATTGAGACCCTATCTCAAACAAACAAAATAGACTCAGGAGGATGAGGCAGGAGGATGGAGAGTTCTGGGCAAATTAGAGAGACCCTGTCTCAAAATAATAGGGCCAAGGATGTATCTTACTGTTACAACAGAAGCAGAGTTCTGGGCTCAGTCTCCAATACTGGAAGAGGGAGGGAGGGACGGAGGAAGGGAGGGACGGACGGACGGACGGATGGACGAATGGACGGACGGACGGAAGTACTCCATGAAAGAAAGTTACAGATCACCATGCTTATTAAGCCAATGAAGACTATTAAGAGTATACTGGGTCTTTTATTAGCTGCTGATTAAGAGCAGGCAAGTGCCTCAGAAAAACTCTTGGTAGGGAAGCGAGGATAGGGTTCTTAAAGTCTGAAGGCTGCAATCACGTCCCACCAGGTGCAGGTGGACTCTTTTCCAGACGGGAGGGAGGAACCTTTGACTGTAAAACATCACACAGGTGTCAGTTCTTAGAGAAATGGTTCCATTGCATCTGTCCCTCTTCTAGCAGGGAAGGAGGAACCTTTGACCTATGAAACGCCCTGGATCATCCTTTATCAGAAGGAAGGAGAATCCTTTGTTTACATGCAAGATGAGACTCCAGAGAGGAGATGTGGGCTCAGGGTAAGCTGACCTTTCCTAAGTCGTTTCAAATGAGGGACCACTGAAGGTGACTCACTGGATGAAGATGCCTGCTGCTAAGCCTGAAGACCTGACCTTTAATCCCCAGAACCCATGTGGTGGAAGAACAGACTCCTGTAAATTGCCCTTTGACCTCTACACACACACACACACACACACACACACACACACACACACACACACACACACACTGTGGCACATACACAACTCCTACCCCAGACACAAATAAATAAATAAATGTAATTTTTAATTTAAAATCTGTTTTATTTTATTTGTGTACATGGATATTTGGCCTGTATGTGTGTTTGTGTCCTTGCATGCATCTGCAGAGGCCAGACGAGGGTGTGAGATTCTTTGAAATTGGACTTACAGATGGTTTGAGCTACCACAGGGTGCTGGGAATTGAAACCTGAGTCCTCTGGAAGAGCAGGTTGTGTTCTTAATCACTGAGTCATCTCTCAGCCGCTAGCCTCATTTTTTTTTTTTTTTAAAGGATGAGAAGGAGAAGGAGGATGGTGTGGGGGTGGGAGTAGGGGCCTAGCTCTCCCTTGTTACATGAGAACAAAGAAAAGGCTACATAAGGACTGAGCAACCATCTGCTGGGCAGTGGTGGCACATCCCTTTAATACCAGCACTAGGGAGGCAGAGGCAGGTAGATCTCTGAGTTTGAGGCCAGCCTGGGCTACAGAGTGAGTTCCAGGATAGACTCCAGTGCTGCATAGAGAAACCCTGTCTCAAAAAAAAAAAAAAAAAAAGTCAGCCACCTGCAATCTGAAGAGACAAGCCTCCATAGAAATGGAATCTGCTGTTACCTTGATCTTCAATTTCTAGCTTACTAAAATGTCATAAAATATGGATATGGCGGTTCATGCTTATAAGACCAGCACTCAGGAACCTGAGGCAGGAGAATCATGCACTCAAGGCCAGTCTTGGCTAAATAGAGAGTACTTGTCTCAACTGGCAACAACCACAGAATTCTGTTGACTAGTCCACCCAGACTGAGGAAATCTGTTGGAGCGGCCCTAGCAGACTAACAGACCAGGGCTCTTTGCAGTAGTATACAGAAGAGTTCAACAAGTAGCGTATTCTGGGTACCCACTGTATGCCTACACGGATATACATGCTGTCAACCCAATCCGCAGGTGCCCAAGACCAACTCTTTGCCCTTGGTCCCTGCCCTGCCCTTCAGACTGATGGTCCATTTGTCATATGACATCATATGTAAGAACTATGTTAGCACTGAACACAGGTGCCCGATTGCTCAGGGGAACAGTAAGCTCCAGGGAAAGCCTAAGGAAGGCTTTGGTTGCTTCTGAGCTGATGGTATTTGGAAGAGTTAGTCCAGCAAAGAGGGGTGAGGGGTGTCTTAGTTATTCTCTACTGTTGTGAAGACACACCATGACCAAGGCAATTCATAAAGTAATAGTTTACTGAGGCTTACGGTTACACAGAGTGAGTTCGTGATCACCATGGCAGAGAGCATGGCAGCAGCCAGGCAGGCATGGTGCTGGAGCAGTAGCTGAGAGTTTTGTATCTTATCTGAAAGTCTGGAGGCAGAGAGAAAGAGACTAGGCCTGGCATGAGCTTTTGAAACCTCAGAGCTCACCTCCTGTGCCACACCTCCTCCTAATCCTTCCTAAACAGTTCTCCAACTTCAGACCAAACATTCAAATATACGAGTCTATGGGAACTGTTCTCATTCAAACCACCATGGTGTCAGGTTTCAAGCTTGTCTATGGGGGCAAGGCTCATGCCAGGGACAGGGCTGCTGATGGTTTTTTGTTTTTGTGTGTGGGTTTTTTTTTTTTGTTTGTTTGTTTTGTTTTGTTTTTGAGTGCTGAATGCTGTTTATTGAAGGAGGGAGGAGGTCTTAAATACAATGGGAGAACCCCGAGGGCAGAAGTTTACTACCCATGTTTTACAATCTTGCATCTAAGCTGTTAACTGTTGAGCCAAGGGACTCATCAAGAGGCTGTGAGCTCTGAGCTGGTGTGGGCTGTGTGCCCTGCTGGTGGTCTTTCTCCACAGATCTCAGCATGCTGGCCAGTGCCAGGAGGAAGGCATAACCAGCCAGTCAGATCATGAAGAATCTTACCCACAGGCAAAGTAGTTTGAATGCTAGAGGACAGCCATGGGAGCCGCTGAAAGATGTCACAGGGACACAGGAAAGCCACTCTGAGGCATTCCAAAGGATGGTCAGGGAAAGTGGGGTTTGGGAGTTAGAACCAGGGACACCAGTCTAGGCTCCCTGAATAAGGTTTTGGTCTCTTGTTTTGAGATAGAGTTTCATGCAGCTCAAGCTGGCCTCACACTTACCATGTAGCTGGGGATGGTCTTGTACTCCTCCTGATCCTTCTGCCTCCACCTCCCAAATGTGCCACTATGTCTAGCTGAAGAAGGAACGTTCTGAACCAAAATCTGAATAATAAAATTAGTCTCCGCTGGAACTTGTAACAGGGTATTTCCCCAGAAACTACCCCTCTGAATGTCATAGAAGACATTTTGGACACCGCCCCCCCCCCCCCCAGACAGGGTTTCTCTGTAGCTTTGGAGCCTGTCCTGGAACTTGCTCTGTAGACCAGGCTGGCCTCAAACTCACAGAGATCTGCCTGCCTCTGTCTCCCGAGTGCTGGGATTAAAGGCATGTGCCACCACCACCTGGCCATTTTGCAACTTTTAAATAAAACCGTCAGGTTGAAGGTTATACAAGGAGCTTGGATGGACACCAGGGGAGAGTCTTTCTCTTAGTTTTAAAAGTGTGTGTGTGGAACTTACTTGGTAGTCCAGGCTGGCCTCGAACTCACAGAGATCCGCCTGGCTCTGCCTCCCGAGTGTTGGCATTAAAGCTACACAGAGAAACCCTGTCTCAAAAAACCAAAAAAAAAAAAAAATTGAATAAATAAAAACAATAAAAAATAAAATTGTGTGTGTGTGTGTGTGTGTGTGTGTGTGTGTGTGTCTGTCTGTCTGTCTGTCTGTCTGTCTGTCTGTCTGTATATGTAGGTATGTATTCATGAGTGCAGGTGACCTCAGAGGCCAGAGCATTGGATCCCCTCTAGAGCTGGAGTTACAGGCAATTGTAAGCTGCCGGATTTGAATCCTGGGAACCCAACTCAGGTCCTCTGTGAGAATAGTGAGTGCTCTTAACTACCAGGCCATCTCTTTAGCCTTCTTAGTTTTTGAAGAACAAAGGGGTCAAGATCTATAGCCTTTAAGACAGGATCCAGGGTTGGTGCTTGTAATCCTGAAGCAGCCTAAATGCTCCTTCCTGATTTGTGTGTCAGAGCAGGTGCAGATTAGATGCAACAAAAACGACCCAGGCTGCGATTAGGATTTGGAGCTGTGCTCTGCAAACTTTTTGTTTAAGGGGCAGATGACATTTTAGGTGTTGAGGGTCATGTAGTCCTTGTGCTCATTTCTGCCTATTCAGAAATATGAAAGCAGCCAGGAAGATGTAAATGAGTATGTTGTGTTCCAGTGATTTTATACAAAGAAGAAGTTTTGGAAATTTTTAATGAAAGTTTCAGTAAAGCTTTCAGTTTCTGAGCCGGGCAGTGGTGGCGCACGCCTTTAATCCCAGCACTCAGGAGGCAGAGGCAGGCGGGATCTCTGTGAGTTCGAGGCCAGTCTGGGCTACAAAGTGAGTTCCAGGAAAGGCACAAAGCTACACAGAGAAACCCTGTCTTGAAACAAACAAACAAACAAACAAACAAACAAAAACAACAAAAGCACTTTCAATTTCTGTAATCCTCACTTGTCACAAATACCATTTCTTCTTTCTGTTTTTTTTTTTTTGTTGTTGTTGTTGTTTTGTTTTGTTTTTGCTTACAAACTGTATGGCCGTGGCAGGCTTCTTGCTAACTGTTCTTATAGCTTAAATTAATCCATTTCCACAAATCTATACCTTGCCACATGGCTGGTGGCTTACCGGCATCTTCACATGCTGCTGGTCATGGCGGCAGCTGGCAGTGTCTCTCCCTGCCTCAGCCTTTCGCTTCCCAGAATTCTCCTCTCTCCTTGTCCCACCTACTTCCTTCCTGGCCACTGGCCAATCAGTGTTTTATTTATTGACCAATCAGAGCAATTTGACATACAGACCATCCCACAGCACTTCCCCTTTTCT